CCCTGGCAGTGCTCAAGGCCAGGTTGGATGGGGCTTGGAGCAACCTGGTCTAGTAGAAGGTGTCCCTGCTTGTGGCAGGGGGTTGGAACTGCATGAGCTTTATGGTCCCTTCCAACCCAAACCAGCCTGTGATTCTGTGATGATTCTATGATTAATTGGCTAATGGTGTGGGGCTGGTAATGACTACAGACAGAGCAGCTGTACAGAGGGATGGTAAATCAAGGATGCACCAAGCCAGAGAATTTGAAAGGGGGCCGTTTTGAGCCAGCATGGTAGAAGATGATGTTAACAAACTGAACTCCTGGGTAACGGGGCTCACCAGTATCCCTGCTGCTGCAAGGTGGTGGAAACGTGCACGAAAGCTGGGGAGCTCAGCAAGGGCCTGAGGCTGTTGTCAGAGCAAGAATGAGCTCCAAAGGAGGCTCAGTGTATGCAGCACAGCAGCAGCAGGGTGTTGCCATACAGGAGGATGCTGAAAGGGCCTTTGCCCTGGGGATGGAGAGATGAGTCATGTAACTCTCTCCTGACCCTGCTGGTATTGGAAGGCCGCTTGCTAAGCAGCCTGGACAGGGCTGTTTTAATGTTTGCATTGAAATGGAGAAGTTGTTTCCTTTAGTATGGAAAATACAGTTTTTTTGGTCTTAAAAATTCCAAGCTTGCATTCATAATAGTTTCAGTTCCAGCTTATTTATCGCTTCTGTCTTGCTAGGATCTGTTACATGGCACTTCCAGACAAAATTGTTAATAAAAGACAGTGTTTTCAGGTAACCTTAATAAAATTTTGAAAGTTGTTTTCATATTTATTTAAAAAAACCCTGACAATCTGTGGGAAAATATTGATTTTTGACTGCACTGTTTTTTCAGAAGTTTAAAGTTGTAATAAGAATTTATCTTTTTAAGAAAGTTATTTTTTCATACTCTAAAGAAAAATTCTGAGAAACTTGATTTTCTTCTGTCAGTACATGGCAGGAGAATCACATATGCATTCCATAAAAATGCTTAAATGCTGCCAGTAAACGGAATAAGACTTTTTGTCTCCCTTACATGAGAGAGAAATTCTAGTACTTTGGAACTTAGCATATACTCAGCTAATGTTGTATGTATATGAATATATACATACATGAACATGAATACATATACACATTACACTTTTTTTTATATATATGTATATGTATATATATGTATTTAAAACATATAAAAGGTCAGCTTTGAAATTCTGTAACCATGTTTGTCTGCTGGTCTACTGAATGGTCCCAGTATCTCTCTCTCCCTTTTTTTACTTTTAGTAGAGAGGATGTACCCAAATCAGCCGTATTGACTTGGTCAATATAGTTTAAGTCATTAGACTGAAAACTAGGAATAACATCATGTGAATCAGGTCCTCACTCGTGTTGAACAGGCCTTTAACTTTCAATATAAAGTATAGCTGGCTTTTTCCCATTTTGAGTGACAGATGATAAAGAAAGCAACCATTATTTTGTTATTATTTGCTACGACAGTACTGGAAAACCATGTATAATGGAGAAAACAGCTTTTTTTTTTTTTTCTTTAATGGGTTGTTACACAAGCAGAGGTAAAATGTTTTATATTTTAATTGCTTTCAAAGGTCCCTGTCCTGTAACTACTTTCTCCAACACCGGCATGTTTCTGCGTTCCTGCAGTGAATCTAAAGGGGCTCTGCATGGATTCACTTCCCTGCCCCTGTGCTAGTATTTGCTGGCTCAGGGCCGAATGTCCATGCTTAACTTCATGTACATAAGTCATCCCATTGAACTCAAATGGGGGAGGTGACCTTATTAAGTAGCTACATCAGGAATGTACAATATGTTATTCTTATGGCAGCTCAGCAAACACAGGCAACAAACACCTCTTGCACCACAGCCTTACGCAACCTGAAAGACAGAGCCAACGGCTAAAAAGCTTTAATCTAATATAGAGGCAAATTAGTATGGTGAAGGATTAGCAGCTTCTACATGTGCAATGCAGTTTTTGGATGTGACTTATTTTTTAAGTGAAAAAAAAAAAAACCAAGCAAAAACCAGCAAGTGGTATGCTTTAAAAATGTTTAGCAAAGCACTGCTGAGAAATGTTTTTTACACAAATGTGCTTTTGTACTTTATATACCTACATACTCTTAAAATGTAAAACAAATTTACTTAACTTCAGGGAATGATGATACCTGGAGGATATAGATAGTGGATGTCTTTTCTCACACTACACTTACATATCTTTGAAATTTGAAAGATGTTTTACCTAGCTTCATTGAATGTCTGGAGCTTATGAATGGTACAGTCTTGAAGTTATAAATGATAAATGCCTTTCCGTCTCTCTTTTCTTTAGACAATCTTAACCTCTTTACAAGTTCAGAATAGCAACTTTTGCTAACCACAGTCATAGAATCATAGAACCATAAAATAGTTAGGGTTGGAAAGGACCTTAAGATCATCTAGTTCCAACTCCCCTGCCATGGGCATAAAATAGTTCATAAGCGTAAATAGTTCATAAATAGTTATAAAGTAGTTCAGCACTGCTTGTATCACAAGTGTATTTTTTATCCAGTCATGGAAACTATACAATTATTATGTTAAGGCAATATTCACATGTAATGATACATGTCCTAGTAATTTTGTGTAATGAATGTTGGAAAGGTTGTACTCACATCACTTAGACTAATCCAGATGCTAACCAGACTATTTCTGAAGCCTAAATTTTCCTGTGTATTTACACCTCTGTAGTATGTCTTTCTAATGCTCAACACTGGGCCACCATTAACAGTAATATTTTTGATTCTGCATGTATATGTCATTATATATGTCATGTATATATTCAGTATATGTCGTTGGAGCTATTCGGACTAACTGGAGCAGTTATGGAAATGACCTAAGAAACTGGAAAATTAAAAATACATCAGGAAAAAGGACGCTATTGGATATACAAAGCAGGGAAAAACAATCTATACCACATAAATATGTGATTCTGTGCTTTCCTGTGTTAAAAATGCTGCAATGGACATCAAGTGCTTTCCTATATAAAATTGCTACTCACGCACAAATTGTACTCAGTACACTAGAAGTATAGATATTAATCATTCTTAGCTCTCCTGTGTCAGCTTTCCAGTTTAATTCTAAAATCTTTTTTCCAGAGGAAGATATTATTTTTGCTTTCCAGAAGATGAGGAAATTGAAGTATGTGATTTTTCTAAACCACAAAGAAACCAAAACTTTGTCTACCAAACCTCATGGCTCCTGTAAAAGGCCTGCATCATACCCTGGTAGAACAAAGGGGAATGGGTTCAAGCTTAAACAGGGGAGATTGAGATGAGCTCTTAGGCAGAAGTTCTTCCCTGTGCGGGTGCTGAGGCCCTGGCACAGGTTGCCCAGAGAAGCTGTGGCTGCCCCATCCCTGGCAGTGCTCAAGGCCAGGTTGGATGGGGCTTGGATCAACCTGGTCTAGTAGAAGATGTCCCTGCTTGTGGCAGGTGGTTGGAACTGGTTGAGCTTTAAAATACTTTCCAACCCAAACAAGTCTGGAATTGTATGATTCTATACCTGCGTATTTTTCATTGAAACACCAAAGCTTGTTTGCAGGTGCATTTCAGCAGCCTTCTTCCTTCTATTATTTACTTGTATGTTATTTTTATGTCTTGATGCAATTCTGCTTTACATGCATGGAATGGGCACAGTCAGATTTGAAAAGGAGTTTTGGTGCCATCATATGGATGTGCTTCTGGAAGCTGAGTGCCCACATGTCTGAACCAGTCTCCATTCCTTTTTCCCAGTTCTGCGTGGGCTGCCTGCAAGACAACAGAATTTTGAGGTTTAGTGCAACAGGCAGATAAGACTTGTGTGGGTCTTTGGATGCTTATCCTAGTGAAAGGGGAGCTAAATATTGTGCCAGTGGCTAGATCTGCCCTGCCCTGGCTGCCCAAAAGCGTGAGTCAACCACCATCGCATGTGTGATGCTCTCTGGTGATGGAGCAGTGAGACTGTTTCAGACAAAAATCAGGCTGCAAATCATGACCTGGGCCATTGTCGTGGTTTAAGCGCAGCTGGTAACTCAGAACCATGCAGCTGCTCACTCACTCCCCCACTTCCTCCCCCCGCTCCCAGAGGAACTTATCTCAACTTGTACGGGTTGAGATAAGAACAGTCCAGTAACTAAGGTATAACACAAATCACTACTGCTACCACCAATAATAATGATAAGGGAAATAACAAGGGAAGAGAATACAACTGCTCACCACCTGTCAACTGATACCCAGCCTGACCTGAGCAGTGATCTAGCCCTTCTGGGTAACTACCCCCAGTTTAAATACTGGGCATGATGTGCTGTGGTATGGAATACATCTTTGGCAAGTCTGGGTCAGGTTTCCTTTCTCTGCTTCCTCCCGGCTTCCCTTACTCCCTGGCAGAGCATGAGACTCAGAAAGTCCTTGGTCAGAGCAAACATTACTTAGCAACAGCTAAAAACATCGGTGTTATCAGCGTTGTTCCCAGGGTGAAAGTCAATAACACAGCACTGCACCAGCTACTAAGAAGGAGAAAAATGACTGCTACTGCTAAACCCAAGACAGCCATGGAAACAATCATGAAAGTCCAAGCTTAAATATGAACTCAAAACACAATGGGACAGTTTCAGTGTAACACAGAATATTGACGTTGCACTGTCCATGCACTCAAAGAAGAGTTTACTCTGGTCTCTTTAGTTAGATACAGGTAGTCTGGAGCTTCAGCTGGTAAAACTGTACCAAGCCCTGTCCAGAAAATATCTGAGCTAAACAGATGCTGCTTTTTCCTGCAAAATTATCGTACAAATGGCTTGTGCTCTAAGCTGATTTTATGCATAGCAAATACATTACTAAATAAGATTTCCTCCATGAACCTCCACTAATAGCAATAACTATTACGTAATGCCTTAAAATGGTATACCTGCTTGGAGGTAATAAGCCTCACAATCAGTCACTATGGCAAAGAGTAAATTGTCTTTTATTCCATTTCCAGAGGCATAGAGGAATACACAGAAGAAAAGAGTTTACTTGAGTTCAAGTGCAAGATATTATCTTGTACTGGGGCTAAAAATAGAGATTTTTCCAGTGTTGATCTTGTTTACAGTGCTTCATAGTGCTACTTCACTTGTCTTTTTAGTAATATATTTGAATTTGTTAGGAGAAGAATGTTAATCAGCAAAATATCCAAAACATTATTGCATAATTATTTCTGTGTCATGCTACCTGTAAATAAATTATCCATTTTCTCTTGAGAGATGAGTTCCCATCTGCATGAGTGTATGGCACATGGAAATGAAGAGAGGAGGTGTCATTTCAAGTTGTACTTAAAGTAGAAAAATGAACATGCTTTACAGCAAATGTCTTTTTCTAAAGCACTTAATAATTCTGTGTTTCAGAGCAGCACATATGGTTAGTGACCTGTCTTCCCAAGGAGAATGACTGAGATGTCTGTTTGGAATTATTCCTGGAATTGGACCAGCATGAGGTCTCCTTTACCAATCTGAGGTAATACTGCTAAAAAGCAAGAAATCCAAAGTGATATATGTCCAGCTGACTGTGCACTGACAATGTCAACTGTGGCAAAAGTTTCACATGCCTGGAGCCAAAGGAAAAAAAAGCCATGAGAATGGGTAAACCTGGGGACAACATCACTCTATGAGGCATAGTAAACATAAAGTCCTTCCCAAGGGATATTTAGTCAGTAGAGCCAAAATCTGTTCTAGGTGGTTTAATTAGCAGTTTTTACTAACAGTGGTAGCCCAGACTTCTGCCACAATGAAGCACCTTCTTGAAGATTAACTAACAAGTTATTTACTTAACAACAAACACAAGAGTGTTGTCAATTTTGGTTAATTTATAGAGCCTTTACAACCTCAGAGACTCCACTAGAGGAAAATCATAGAATCATGGAATGGTTAGGCAATTTAAAATGAGAATATGGATAGTTAACTTCATATGGTTTAATACTGCTTAGGCCTAAGCCTCCTGCTGGCAAAACCACTCCAATTCTGCTTAACTTTAACATGGCGTACACCAGAAGAGGTTTCAGTTGCAACCATTTTCTATAAGGGTAAGCCTGAATCATCCCTGCTGTGAAGTTCATGAGTACATAGGTAAAGCAAATATGGTTTGCCAAGCGGTATGCATGAAAATGAATTTTCTTATTGTTGAATGATCCTTTGAAAAGTTTTCTTTAAATGGTTTTAGCTAAGAAGCTACAGAAATTGTGCCCAGATCTGGAGTGCATCTGTCTCATTCTGCTTCATTGAGGTTATATAAATTATGTATGCCCCCTTCACTTTGGATAACAGTCCGGTCTCGGAAGGATATTAATTATTATGTAGTATCATTCACTAATTGTTTCTACCTTTAGAGTATTTAAAAAGTTGTCTATGTTGACAATAGTAAAAGGTAATGAATGGTTGTTAAGATGTCTGTAGTACAAAGTAAAATACTCATGGCTTCTGCTAATAATATCAGCAAAAGTCAGTATGATTTTAATGATATTATAGGTATATTATGCTTTTGTTGCCTTTTCTTGAGAGGAGGAATAACCTTCCAATGTTTCTGCCATTTATGCAACCTAGAAAACCCGTATCAGGGCACTCAAATTACTGTTAAATAACACACTAAAATATCCCTAAACACATTGCAAACAACAAACAAATCCTTCATGTTCAAAATTTCCATTTACTTCAAAGGTTTGACCTGATTTCAGCAACAGTTCTGTAAACAGGGGGTTGAAAATTGAGGTTTTAATAACAAAGAAATCCTGACTCCAAAAATAGAGATGACAAAAATCAAACACATTTTAAGAAAAACCTTGAACAAAGATATTTTTTGCAAGTTTGTCTGTTGTTTCTTTCAGTTGTCAAAACTCATGTACATACAAGTTAATATAAAGTTAATAAATGCCTTATGTACTAGAACACGCTTGGGATATTTATAGGTGTCTTAACATCTTTTAAAAACAAATGCTACCTCATTTCTGAATAACTCTCCCAACTGCATACTTGATGCCAAGCCAAAATATGTATAAAATATGTATAAAATACATATACAGTTTTCATTAAAAGGAATTATGCACATAGTTATGTATGTATTTATATTCATATATACGTGCACATCTTCCTCTAATTTCTGGTAGTCTGGTGGTAATTCTAGGAATAAATGAAAGGCTTGTTTTTTGAGGTGCTTTCTTGAAGTGTACATTTTACTGTAACACAAATGCCCTGTCAATGCCTCACTTAATTTAGACAATATTTTATTAATTTAAAGTGCAACAAAATGCTTAATCTCCTCAGCATTTTCAATTGTAGCACTACTCTATGAAAACACTAAAGAGACCTCAGACTAATTTTGATGTTGTTACTCACCTTCATCTTTTCCTAGAGATAGGTAACTCAGGTGTTTGTCTTTTCTGGGACAACATAAAGCAATGGAAAAGGTAGCTTATCTAGAACAAGGGAAAAAATAGTCTCCTATAAAAAATTAGCCTCTTGGAAAGTAGTAAACACCTTAATTTAAGAACAGGTTACACACAGAAGTGTAAACTCCCTTGCAGTACTGTGCAACTGTTCATCAGGAAGGCTTTGATGAAGTTTCATCTAAAGGCTTATGTGGCCCCATCTTAACTTCTGAGGATACAGCAAGAATCACAAAGCTAACCAACAGCACTGAGGTTACTTTACTCCTGCAAAAGAGTTTGGATAGAACAAATTTTGTGTTCAGCTGGGCTGACTTGAATCAGTAAGGTGGCTGGAATTAAAGTGGTATCTGTTCATCTTACCAAGAATAGAGGTTTTTTTATATAAAATCAACAAGTATTCTTTTACTTCGTTAAAGTGATGTAAAATACCTACAGGAGCAGCTGCTTCTAATTTTTTTTTTCCTCTCTGGCCTAATGAATCTTGAATATTTCTTTGCAAGTTGAGCAGGAGCGAGGACTGAGTGTCCTTATTCAGGAGCTGCCCATTCTTGGTGATGAGGGCTAGTTCTGGCTTTATCTGCAGAGAAAAGACTTAAAGGCAGCCAATAATAACAGGCAGAAGGATTTAGGTGGAATTTAGGCAGAATCCAGGCCAGCCTGATCTGTGCAATTTATTTGTTCTGACATCAATCCTGGCTCTGCCAAATAGGTCAGGGTCTGTTGGTGAGGTTGCAATAGGCACATGTATGGAGGGATGAATGTGTCCCAGATAAGACTACTTCTTTTGAAAAGTAAGGGTCTTGAGCAAAGCTCTGTCAACAGCATCTTCCATTCTCCTGACACCACCACCACTACAATCTACTGCTTTTGCGCTTCTTTAAAAACAACATGGCCCTGTGATGAAATGGGTTCTTCTGTGGTGAAAGGAGTAGATTTTAGCAACCAGGATGAAAGCAAACAGTAAAATTCTTATCAGCAGCAACCCCAAACCACTTGTCTAACTACTCTTTCACATTATAAACACTGCTCAGCTGTATTTAACTGATCAGTATAACCGGAGGTAAATGATGTTACAGTTCTTCCAGGGTCTACCATGTTCCTTGAACAGGCAGTGTTTTTGTCATCGTTTTACACAAAAAAAACCACATGAATTGGATTATATATGGTAAAGATAAAAAGGCAAGCCCTTCTCCTTGCCAGAAAACCTTAGAAAGCTGTAAATTTGGGTGTTCTGTTGAAAGTCAATATAGCAAAACTTTCACTGGAAGAAAATTGTACAGTTGAGCTTTTGAAAGTTTGGAAGCCATTCTGATGCTGTCACATACTGTTTGTTTTTCTCACTTATTCAATCAGCAGAGTTTGAAGTTAAGATTTTCAAAGCCGTAGCATAGATTTCTTTCATTTGAGCCAATAAAGTAACCAATAATTGAGGTCAGGCACTTCCCTGTACATGGGCAGCTCTTGGAGGGAGAGATGACGCTGTCAAGTTATATGGTAGAGACATCAGTGAAATACAGGGTAGGGGGGCGCTGCTGGGCTCTATTTCTGGAGCTGGGGTGGGCTTTGTAGCCCTGGAGCCCTACAAGAGTTGTAAGTCTATGGGAATGTTATTTGCAAAGTGGGTATTTGTTGGTTAGTTGTGAAGGGAGTATCATATTGAGAAAAAAGGGCTATAAACAGAGCATAATTGTCCTGAGAACAGGGGGAAAGAAATGAGAACAAACCTTTTGTTTCCCGAATCACACCTATGTGTTCTTTCCTTTCCTTAATCAACTTTTTAAAGTTTGTGTTATTTTGGTTTTGGGTTTGGATTTTTTTTCCCCCTTAGATGCTATGTATAGCTCTCTTTGCCACAGTGGGAGTGTTATAAATGTATATATGTATGTATGGAAATAAAATTAGGAGACAACAGAATATGGTGCATTTTAAAGCATGCAACAGCAAGAATAAAACCCTTGAAGAGCTTTGTCTGAAGACTGCAAGACTGGTTCTTATTTGCAGAGATGTTGGTTTCAGTATGAGCTCAATCTCTGTACTAAAATCTTTTTATCAAATACTGGTTTGTGTGTGTGTGTGCGTTGCTTATATAAGCTTTTCAAGATACGGTGTAAAGCTAAAGCAGTAAGAAAGTCATTGATGGATGTTTACTAATTCCAGATCCATTTACTGTTCCGAATATTGTGGCACCATGTTTTTTGTTACTATCTCAGCCACCATAAATTTGAACTTCTGAAAAATGAAAGAAACACAGTTTGACTCTCGCCTAATACCAGGCTAATACTTGTGCACTGCTATGAAAAAAGAGCAGCATTTTTTAAATAAAAATACCTACTTCTGCCTTTAGAAAAACGTTAGCATCTACTTGTATGAAAATGATATAATTTTTTTTTATGATGCTTTTTCATGATGCTTTTTCTAATACACTGTGCAGTGCAAATTTATTTGTGAATTTCAGAAATTGAGAAAAATGTGTTTATTGGTTATAACAGTATATGAAAATGTATGCATGATAAGCATGGATAAGCATTTGTGTGCATATAAACAAAGATCAGACTGACAGCTAAACTAAAACACTGTTTCCACCCACTATCACCAACAACATAAATTAGGATGAAAGTGGCTGCAAGGCTGAGCCTCCCAAAACTAACAGAAACAATCCCAGAGCAGGTCAGTATGTCTAAGTATAGAATTTACCTGATGAATAAACCAAAACCAATGCAAAGAGGCTTACGTCCCTCTTCGCAAGCTGCTGAAAAGCTTCAGAGATGACTTCCAGTGCCTACAGCTGCTGCCTCCCTTCTGCATTAGAAGCTGGTGAATACTCCACATCATTGTCAAAAAATGTTCATATTTTTTGACTGATTCAGTGGATTTTGCTCCACTCTTCAGTGTATGAATAGTATAAGAAAGTTTACTGGAGGAAAGAGTCACTGTACCAAAAAATTTGAAACAAATATTACCTAACACTTAAGAGAGATAGATACAAAACTTTTCCTTCATAGTCATCAGCATTAAAAGCCTCATTCCAAAAATAACATTAGCCCAATCAGAGACAAGAAACATAGCCAAATAAGGCTATTGATTTAGAAATAATCATTGCAGTTATTTGCCCAGTAGCTAAATAAGTGATATATCAATGAAAAGATATTTACATTAGAGAGATAAATATCTAATATAAAAATAATATATGTATTTACATTGTATGTATAAATTTACTATCTTTTGTTTAAACTCTGCTCTAGTCTACACCCTTGTGCTCTGGGGTGTACAAACTCTATTAACCTCCCTAGTCCCCTTCAAATCCTGCAAGGAAAGATGACACCACCTCAGGCACAAGCCTTTGTCTACTATCTCTGTAACTCTCTGCTTGCCCTGTAATAACATTACCCAGTTTGTTAAGTATTGTACACATGTAATATTTCCCAAACAGGTGAAGCCCCAAGCAGGTGTATCACTACAGATTATGTATTTTCCTCTGTTTCTATGTTCCCACACCTGACTGTGGAGAGAGTTCTAGGAAACTTCATATTTGCATGGAAGATGCAGTTGGTTTTGGTGTCTCGTAAATTTGTGGTGGGGATGGGTATGGGAAGGCAAAGTATATGACTGGGTTAATTTTAGGATTGTTTTCCTCATCCCTGGTTTATATTCAAAACCGTCAGCCTGGAGAACTGTGATAACCTGTAGCCATGTTTTCTTGAAAAATCTCCATCAGCTGACTGATTTCTGTCAGCTTCATAAATGTCTATGGAGAGCAAGCACCTTGTTGATGTTCTTCTCAGGAGCTCGGTCCTCCTGAACTTGTAGATGTGCCATCCTGGACAGTTCATTTTGTGTTTCACTGCTGTGAAGGCTGCATTAGTTAAACATTTCACTATGGAGTATGGGTTGACCTTTGAAATCCTGGGCACAACTCTTTCAGTGTCTAGGAGCAGGATTTTCACTGGTGGAAAGCTCATGTGATGGTCTGGGACCTCAGTCCCTGAGATCAATGCCAAGGTACCTCATGTCTTTACCATGTTTTGTTTTGTGGTTTTTGGGTTTTTTTTTTTGTTTTTGGTTTTTGGTTTTTATTTGTTTTTAGCAAAGGCTTTCCATAGGAAGTCAGTTGGGATTAAGGTTCATGTATCCCTTACTGGATGAAGATGAGAAGTAACACAATATTTAAATTATCGTAGGCTGGGTTCTTATTGAATCATAGAATCCCAGACTTTTTTGGGTTGAAAGGACCTTAAAGCTGAACCAGTTGCAACCCCCTGCCATGGCCAGGGACACCTTCCACTAGAGCAGGTTGCTCCAAGCCCCATCCAACCTGGCCTTGAGCACTGCCAGGGATGGGGCAGCCACAGCTTCTCTGGGCAACCTGTGCCAGGGCATCAGCACCCTCACAGGGAAAAACTTCTGCCTAAGAGCTCATCCCAATCTCCCCTCTGTCAGGTTAAAGCCATTCTTCCATGTCCTGTCCCTACAGGCCCTTGTCCAAAGCCCCTTTCCAGGTTTCTTTTCAGCCCCTTCAGGCACTGACAGCTGCTCTAAGGTCTCCCTGGAGCAAAGATATGAGCGCATGCTACAGGTCATGTGGAGCTTCTTGTCAAACAACACCCTTTTTTGCTCATTATTCATTCATTTGGAAGCCGAATCCTGCAAGCTCTACCCATAATACTTGAGTTAGGCCTTAGTTCTTCTACATAGGAAAAGCATCTAGGGTGAGGTCTATAAGGGATTCTTAGGCACCTCAGAGTAAAACACTGTAAAAACATCATTTTATGGTAGGATGACATCCCTAGACTTCCCAAGGAGACACTAGAACAAAGAACGCCATGCTGAGGGTTACCTCTTGGTTCTTGGAGAGGGCTCACATCAGGGAGTTAACAGAAAGGAGCTCGTCTTCTGCACAGGCGGCTGGGCTGCTGGCTGCCTGTTCAGTGTTGTGTTTTCTGTGTACAGCTGCTCTGCCAACTGTGTACAGTGAGGCAGAATGGTAGAAAAATAACATGCACACCAGCACAAAGCCTTTAGGCTTAGATTTTTTAAAATGTTATTTGTAATCTCTTCAAAACTACTACATGGAGAGCAAGGTTTTAGCTTGGGAGAGATAGCACATAGGGCACTGGTAAAGGCGTGTGTGCAGAGCTCACTGAGGATTTGGTAGTTGATGTGGTGCTTTGACAGCTCTGAGCCCCCATGTGCACATCGCTATATTGCATCTCCCAGTTTTTATAGACTATGTCCCATTAAAAATAAATGCTGTGAGAATGGAAACAAGTGCTGCTTTCCATGTATGAAAGATGACCTGATTAATCAGCACAAGGAATACTTGGAACAAAGCGAGAGTAACAATTAAAATAGCACCACACAGCTCATTATTATATTTAAAAACATATGCTGGATACAGCTGTCTGAATCAAGTAATTTTGACAGCTCCCAAGAAGGCGCAGACAAATTCTTACAGGTAATGCTAAGAATGTTTCGTCCCTTGAGCTATGGAGCTATTTTATTTATGTTATGTTGTATTGATGTGGTGTAATCAATCCTTCTTCTGGGAGATGCTCTGAAATAAGGTGATGTGGTCATCATTGTGTTCTGTAAGACTAGCATGAGAACACTCTCTTTTGAGAGAGGAGATACTTTTTTGTCTTCTGGTTTCTGGCAGGGAGGTAATGTTGTAAAAATTTAGTACTAGTAAAATCATTCTTGGTTAGAAAAAAGTTTAATGATCACAGAATCACAGAATCCCAAGGGTTGGAAGGGACCTCAAAAGATCATCTAGTCCAACCCCTCTGCAAGAGCAGGGTAACCTAGAGTACATCACACAGTCCAGGCGGGCCTTGAATATCTCCAGTGTAGGAGACTCCACAACCCCCCTGGGCAACCCATGCCAGTGCTCTGTCACTCTCACAGTAAAGAAATTTTTCCTGATGTTCACATGGAACCTCCTATGCTCCAGTTTACACCCATTGCCCCTTGTCCTACCACTGGACACCACTGAAAAGAACCTGGCTCCATCATCCTGACACTCACCCTTTACATATTTGTAAATACTGATGAGGTCACCCCTCAGTCTCCTCTTCTCCAAGCTAGAGACCCAGCTCCCTCAGCCTCTCCTCATAAGGGAGATGTTCCACTCCCTTAATCATCTTTGTGGCTCTGCGCTGGACTCTTTCAAGCAATTCCCTGTCCTTCTTGAACTGTGGGGCCCAGAACTGGACACAATATTCCAGATGTGGCCTCACCAAGGCAGAGTAGAGGGGGAGGAGAACCTCTCTTGACCTACTAACCACACCCTTTCTAATGCACCTTAGGATGCCATTGGCCTTCTTGGCCACAAGGGCACATTGCTGGCTTATGGTCATCCTCCTATCCACCAGGACCCCCAGGTCCCATTCCCCTTCACTACTGTCCAGCAGGTCAACCCCCAATCTGTACTGGTACATGGGGTTGCTCTTTCCCAGATGCAAGACTCTACACTTGCCCTTGTTGAATTTCAACAAGTTTCTTTCTGCCCAACTCTCCAGCCTCTCCAGGTCTCGCTGAACGGCAACAGAGCCCTCTGGTGTGTCAGCCACTCCTCCCAGCTTAGTATCATCAGCAAACTTGCTGTGGGTACACTCAGTTCCCTCATCCAGGTCGTTGATGAAAATATTAAACAGCACTGGTCCCAGCACCGACCCCTGAGGGACTCCACTAGTCACAGACCTCCAGCTAGATTCTGCCCCATTAACCGCAACTCTCTGCCTTCTTCCTTTCAACCAGTTCTTGAGCCACCTCACTACCTGATCATCAAGCCCACACTTCCTCAGTTTATCCGTGAGGATGCTGTGGGACACAGTATCAAATGCCTTACTGAAATCAAGAAAAAACATATCTACTGCTCTACCATCATCCATCCACCTAGTTACTTGCTCATAGAAGGCTATAAGTTGGTCAAACATGACTTCCCCTTGGTAAAACCATGTTGGCTGCTCTTAATGACCCCCTCATCCTTGATATGTCTAGAGATGGTGTCAAGAATAAGTTGTTCTATCACCTTTCCAGGGATGGAGGCAAGTCTGACCGGTCTATAATTACCTGGGTCCTCCTTCTTTCCCTTCTTATAGACCGGCGTGACATTTGCCATCCTCCAGTCCTCAGGCACCTCACCTGTTTCCCACGACTTACCAAAGATGATGGAGAGTGGCTCAGCAATGACCTCCGCCAGCTCCCTCAGCACCAGCAGGTGTATTCCGTCCGGACCCAT